CCCTCTTATCTGGTAACCATATGTAACCTATCATGAGTCAAAAGCGTCTTAACCCCTTGAGCCACCCCAGCCCCCCCATTTGTATATATAGGAGTGGTTAAATTGGCATGCAAAATAGTGAGGACACTTTTTTTTTAACAGATCAAAAGAATGACAAGCTTAGTTCTGTTTCAGTTCAACTGGGGGAGAAAAACAACATGGGTAATAGGAAAACACTCTACACAGCGAAGATGCTATAGAATTCACCTCTGTGCTTGAAAGGAGATGGGTGGGGTCTAAGGACTGGATTCTCATGAATTAGGGCACATCAATCTCCAGTTCTAATATATTTATTACCTATGCTGTCCCGTCCCCCCCAGTAGAACCGAAACAGAACTAAGCTTGTCATTCTTTTGATCTGTTAAAAACAACACCTGTCCTCACTATTTTGCATTCTAATGTAACAAACCACTCCTATATATAAAACCATGATATGTAATTCCATTCCATCGTCTGAAGAAGTGTGCTTTGCACACGAAAGCTCACACCTTGAATAAAACTTTGTTGGACTTAAAGGTGCCACTGGACTCTAACTTTAGTTGCTGTAGATTTTCCGGGATGTGTGGCCGTGGTCTTGGCATTGTAGAACCTGACGTTTCGCCAGTAACTGTGACTGGCATCCTCAGAGGTATAAACACAGAAAGATGGAATACTCTCTGTGTCAAGGAGAGAAGAAAATGGCAGGCAGTTAATTTATATCTACTCAGAAAAGTGAGGTAGGGCTGAGTCATTATTCTGTAGGAGTTCCCCAGGCTATGGACGTGCTAATGGAGGAGCTTTCCTGAGGAGGTTCTTTTGTTTCCTGAGGTTTCCTGCTTCCTGAGGAGGCTGTTGAAATTCTAATCTTATCTGTAGTGCTATTGTCAGATGTAGAGCTTTTTGTGTTTTTCAGGACACAAAACTCAGATTAGGTGTTTCTGCTGTGGAAAAAAAGGTAAAGGTTCCCTTGCTTGAAAGCCAGTCGAATCCGACTCTAGGGTTGCGGTGCTCATCTCCGTTTCCAAGCCGAAGAGCCAGCGCTGTCCAGAGACATTTCCATTGTCATGTGGCCGGCATGACTAAACACCAAGGCGCACAGAACGCTGTTACCTTCCCACTGAAGTGGTACCTATTTATCTACTTGCAATTTCTTGCTTTCAAACTGCTAGGTTGGCCGGAGCTGGAACTAGAGACAGGAGCTCACTCCATCATGCGGCACACTCGGGTATCGAACTACTGAACTACCGACCTTCCAAAGCCTGCAGTTCAGCGTCTTAACCTCTTGAGCCACCACAGCTCCTTTCTGGTGTGGTAGCCCTCTATTTAATAGCATGCCAAATTGGGGATAAATTACAAGGGTAGGAGGCTACCAGAAGATGGAAAGATGTTGCTTTTTGCAGGGCAGACTCCAAACTCAATAGGATAGGCAGCTATGTCCAAGCTAGTTAGTTACATTTTCTGCTGCCAAGATTCTTTTCGTATTCTGCTGCCCAAGGCTTTCTGAAATGCTAGCATTATACAAGGGATTCGCCCCTTCCCATCCGAGCTTCTGCTTGCAAGAGACACTCAAATGTCAAAGTCTTGAACTCTGCAAACCAAAGGCTTAATGACTTGAGAACTTAAAACAAATCGCCAGGCTACTCTCAAGTAACCAGGTACATCAGCCGTAGCCAGCTTTCTGGCCATGACAGTACAAGGAAGTGTTTTGTTCCCTGATTCAGGTCAGGGGAAGAAAGCAAGCGTGCAAAGCAATGCTCACCTCCATCAGATTTCGGGATGAGGCACGTCTCAGCGCAGAGTTCCACAAATCAGATTTTGAAGCTCCCTCAAAGGGATTATTCTGGAGAGATTAATCCAATAAAAGTATGGACAGAAAAAGGGTAAAGGTGAGAGGAGCATGCTATTGAACATAAGCGCCCTGCTGGATCAGACCAGGGCTCCATCTGGTCCAGTATCCTGTCTCGCACAGTGGCCACCCGGTTCCTCTGGAGGGCCAACAACAGGGCAGAGAGGCTGAGGCTTTCCTAAGAACCTCAGAAGAGCCCTGCTGGATCAGACCAGTGGTCTACCTAGTCCAACATCCTGTCTTACAAAGTGGCCACCCAGTTCCTCTCTGGAAGGCCAACAACAGGGCATTGAGGCCAAGGCCTTCCTCCAACATTGCCCCCTAGCACTGTTATTCCAGAGGTGTATTGCCTCTGGATGTGGAGGTTCCCTTTAGTCATCATGGCTACTAACCACTAATAAGCCTATTGTTCATGAATCTGTCTCATTCCCCTTTTAAAGATATTGATGCCTATGGCCATTACTACCTCCTCTGGCATTAATTCCACATTTTATTCACTTGTTGAATTTTTAAAAAGTATGTTTTGCATCCTGAAACCACTGCCCTTCAACTTCACTGGATGTCCTCAAGTTCTAGTATTCTGAGAAAAGGAGAAAAAGTTCTCTTTGTCCACTCTCTCCAACCCGTGCATTATTTTATAAACCTCTATTATGTCGTCGTCCCCTTTAGTTGTCTCTTTTCTAAACTTGGGATTCCCAGACTCTCCAAACTTTCCCCATAGGAGAGATGCTCCAGCCCCTTCATCATCCTGATTGCCCTCTTCTGTATTTTTCCCAGCTCTGCTGAAACGGGAACACCTCGCCACCAATGTTCCCTCTAAGCCAGTGATAGCGAACCTTTTAGGGACCGAGTGCCCAAACTGTGACCCAAAACCCACTTATAGATCGCAAAGTGCCAACACGGCAATTTAACCTGAATACTGAGGTTTTACTTTAGAAAAAAACAACTCATACATTAACTTAAGATGACCCAAACAAAGTAAGGAAAGCAATCCCAAATGCTTTCTTTTACTTAAAATTATTTGGCAGAGAATTCGACACTTTAATGATGGTCTGGGCCTGGCTGGGGCGATGGCACGCGTGCCCACAGAGAGGGCTCTGAGTGCCACCTCTGGCACCCGTGCCATAGGTTTGCCACCACTGCTCTAAGCTGTGGAGTCCTGTGAGCTAAAATTCTACTTTGTGAGCAACCGGCATTAAAGTTGTGAGCAAGTAATTTGGCTACTGCATAAATCAGTTTGCTCTGGAGCCATCCTTCCTGGGCTAAGACAAAAATGTGCGAGCCGGAGGCTAAAAACCTGTGAGCTAGCTCATACTGACTCATCTTAGAGGGAACACTGCTCGTCACACACAATCCTCTCTTGTCAATCCCAAACTAAGCATATTTCCCAACTTCCCCCCCCCTCTTGTGGATCTAAGGAAGAAGGCAGGATCACACCCTTACCAAGTAATCAGTAGCGTAATCTGGAAGGCTGCTGGCAATCCTACGGTTGAGCACAGCAGAATCTTCTCTCTGAAGAGCAAAAAAAAAAGGACTTACAAATCACAATATTGTGCCACGGATACATGGAATGAGGGACGGATCTGTCACAGACCCGCACCTCTCCAGGTACAGAGTCTGGGTTTAAAGAACAGATTACAAAGCACTTTTACTAAAACACTGAAGGAATTCTAGATAATCCCTCCAGGTTACAAAGGTAGTCTGCCACCAGGTTATTTTCTGAGTTCCCAACAGGTCTGGAGCAAAATAACCAAATCTCCAGGCTGGCTCTGGAACTTAAA